CAATAATTACTTTAAAAGGAAGGATTAATCACGAAAAGCCATTAGCATGGATAACTCTGCCCATACGCTCAGCTAAGATATCTCAAACTTTTTTGAAGATCAATAAAAATTCAGTGAAATGCCTTCGATGCCGTATTCGAGAAGAAAGAAAGAAGAAAGAGAAACGAAAATGATGGAAATACAGAAAGAATAGGAAATGTGGGACAAGTCAATCGTAGCTCAAGACGTACCTCTCCTTTGGCAATCGATTCACTAGGAATAAATAACTCTGGGGGTATGTTGTCCAAATACCATTTGAATGACTTCTTGCAACCAAGACGTTCACGTAATTTCTTACGTTCAGATGTATCACCAATTTCTCCCTAAAACGATAATTACTTTTGGGCGTTGAATCTTCCATACTCGACACGCGCACGGCGACTGAAACGTACTGGATACAACCTAGTTATATACAAAAGAAGTAATTGGTAAGACTTAGTCAGTAAGACCCTAATAAAGCTAGCTGTCCGTAACAATCTGATTCAACCCGCTCCTTACAAGATATCTGGTCATGTAATTGGTACCAGACCGACTCATACCAGACGGTCTGCAGCAGCCTCCAAAATAGAAGCCTCTCTGATTTGTAACTGTATTATACTACAGTAAAGGCGTCTGACAGCACAACGAGTCGGCATGGAGCGGAACGTGAGTACGAGTTTTACTCATGACTAAGCACTGATCGCAATATAGTACAGTGAATTGTGGTACATACCAACTGGTTATTGATCCGTTCATAATAATACTGCTTGCATTCGTCCAGCTATACTTCTGCTAATCGTACTGAATTCCTCTTCTGCACATTCACTCCAGTTCTAAAATTTTACTATTCGAGTGAATTACACATTTTCATAAGCAATTACTCTTAATCATATCCAACGCAGAGATTCTGTAGATCAAGCTCGGTCAAAAAAATGGGATTCAAAAATGAAATTTTAAATATGAACTGTTAAAGGAAATTGTCCCTTGACCCCGCAAATAATGGCTGAAATCAAAGGAGAAGGATAAGAATGAACTTCCAAAAAAGCACCTGATAATTACTTAGCCATCTATTAGGAACAGCTAAGTAAAGAAGTAAGCAGAAAAATCAAGTTTCTAGTCTATTCTACTCAGAGAACCAAAAAACTGAAGGTACAGTACCTAGTTTCGTTAATTCTACAGGTAAAAATAAACCGCTGGCAGTAAAATCCTTTTTTTCAGAACGTACAGGTACAAAATAAATTTGGAAAAATCCAATTCCACTCATTAGAATGGAAAATGTAAAAACAAATTGCAAAGGAAATGCCACCTCCACTTATAAGGCGACCGTTTTCGGAAGCTATGTCCAACATGTGAACATGGAACGATTTCCAGGGTTCCGTCGCACATCCAAATCTAGAAAAAGTCAGAAAGTATTTCTTATCCAACTCACTATTTCAAAGATCAAGTGTTCTGAATAAAGAGGTTTAAAACCATTCGAACGACACAACGTGGAAGTTGCCTGTGACTGCTCCTACAACCGTGGACTCTTCGTGATTTGTGACGTCTTCTAGCCAAAGATAAAAACAGCATAAAAAAAGATTTGAAATATTACCTTGAATGACAGCTCGAGACTTTCTCCTCCCCAAATATCGAAACCTGGATCGTAGATGCCCAGTTTTTCGAAATACGCTCGATCAATGGAAAAAAGACCGCCAGCCATTGTCGGAGATCTGAAAACGACAAAATATGCTAAGCAAAGAAGGAAAAGAGAACCCACCCTGGGTGAGAGCCATGGATTCATCTTCGGTTGCAATAATATAAGAATTTGATGGTTGATGTAATAATTTGTTCTGACCTTGGTTATAAATTATCGTCTGCGGAGGCACGAATTTTTGAACGGCATAATAAATAGGGACCTAATACCCCCTCTTCAATCACAGCTGTTCAGCTCTTTCGTCAGCCCTCAAGCTTTACTTGCAAAAAAAGTATAGTAAAAGAAAAGGATAGCGTTGCTCACCTTACTCGGTCGATAGCTCTTGAACGTATCCTCCTGTCCCGTTCCGGAATGGGATGCCAATTGAACTGTAAACCCCA